TTGGAGATGCTAAGGCATATTAAGCAACAGTAGAGGTGTCAGCCAGCCAGCCACAGCAGGGCTGTGTTATTGCCCCAACCCTTTTTCCCATCTATCTTGCCATAATCTTGCTGCTTCTTTGTGGTTGCCTTTCTTCTGGAATTGGGATAGAGTATTGCATGGATGGCCAGCTCTTCAATCTGTGACGTCTTCATTCTAAAACTAAAGTCACCAGGACTGTTATTACTGACCTTCAGTATGCTGACGACTGTGCTATCCTCACACACATTGAGGCTGACTTGCAGTCCACCCTAGATCTCTTCTCAGACGCCTATCATAGCTTGGGACTTTCCCTCAACATTAGGAAGAGTAAGGTGCTCCTCCATCTTGCCCCAGAGCAAGTTGCCCCTGTTCTCCCACAAATTGTCATTGGTGAACCCCTGGAAAATGTTGAGCATTTCCCTTACATTGGTAGCCACCTCTCCCAGACAGCCAATCTTGATGTGGAGATTGAACATGGGATCCGTTGTGACAGTGTATCCTTTGGAAAGTTGCTCCGTTGTGTCTTTACTGACAGATCTGTGGATGGAATCTAAGATCCTGGTCTACATTGCAATAGTCATCCCCACTCTTCTTTAGGGAGCGAGACATGGGTGACATACCAAAGCCATATTAAGCATCTGGAGTGGTACCAACAGCGCTGCTTTAGGTAGATTCTCTGTATCGGATAGGAAGACCATTGTACCCATGCCAGCATTCTCTCTGCAGCTAACATCACCAGTGTTGAGGCAAAGATTATGAAACATCAACTTCGCTGGCCTGGTCATTTTGTACGGATGGCTGATACTCATCTTCCAAAGCAATTCCTCTTTTCTCACTTAGTTATGGTAACAGGACCCGTGGAGGACAGAGGAAATGCTACAAAGACACCCTGAAAGTATATCTTAAGAAGGGAGGCATTGACCCCACGAATTAGGAAGAGCTGTAGTGGTGTTGTATCATACCTCAAGCCTCATCCTGGTTTGAAGAGAATTGCCTTGCTCAAGAGGCTGAGAAAGAGCAGAGGAGGAAGGAAAGGGTACAGCATCCAGGCCAGCAGTTGTGCTCTTTCCAAGCAACCACCTGCCACATATGTGGGAAAAACCTGTAAAGCACGAATTGGACTCCTCAGCCATCTTAAGTCTCATCAATGATTTTTCCCCATGGCAGACATCATCCTAGTATTAAGGGATAGCTAACAAACAAACAAGGTGTTAGCCCTGGTGTCCTGGCCAGATATAGGAAAGATGATTTCGTGCCTATGGAACTGTTTTGGGACATGTTTGGGTCATGAGATTTGGGTTCTATTGTGGCTGTGCCATAGATTTCCTGTGAATTTGAGCAAGACGTTTAATCTTTGTGCCTATCTGATTATACGTTTTGTGAAGATATATTCATTAATGTTTGAGAGGCGCTCAAATACTATGGTGATAAATGCTGTAGAAAAGCCTATATGTAAATAAAATACTTGAGTACAATTTGGGAAACTACATTCATTCTACTTAACTTAACCCTGAAGTCTCACTTGCTTTCTTGCATCTTTTAGTGCAAGATGTGGCTGCATCTCAGTGCTAGGGTGGGGGGAGAAATGTATTATTTTTTGTGAGGCACTTGGGAATCCTCTCTGTAGGCTCTAACTGTGAAATAAAACAGCTTTTGCACAGCTTGTTTCTTGAGAGTTGGGTAACTTGTTACAAAATATTGAATTCAAAAGCAAAATGCAACAGCTTTAACCCAAATTAAGTCAATTATTTAAATGTTTGTTTTCAAGCTTATAACTTGGAATAGACATAAATTATTATATTCTTTCCTGCCCGATTAGTTACTTATGATGGAAGTAAATGTTTATATTTTTAAATCTGTCCCCTATGGGCCAAGAAGAGATTGCTAAAACAATGGATATCACTTTTATGAATAATTCATGTTTAGTCAAATTTTGTGTCATGTGGGTTGAACTAATTGTCATTCAGTTATACTGTGTGCTGTCATTGGGTTGTACAAAATTTATAAATAAAACACTTCTAAGATAATTTCTTTGGTAACATGGCATATATGGGATACATGGTAGTGTGGTATCGAGGTTTGATCAGCACTTATTTGCAATGACTTGCAGAAATATGGCCATCCCAAAATTATGTTAATGAAACTTCTAAACCATGCCACGTTACCATGTATTCTTCGTATGTGTCTGTTTTATAATTAGTTAACTCTTCATAGCATTATATCTGAGCATAAAGTATGATTTATAATCTTTATATCCTGTTTTTATATTATTTGTTTTATGATTGGCTGGATGTTTGACTACTCTGTTTATAGTTGGATTTGCGTAAAACTTTTTTTAAAAGTATATAAATTCACTATTATACTTTTCATTAACTGTTTTTGAGGCTACTGTTAAAATGTCCTAAACATATCATAGAAGTAGAGCTGGCTTTGTGATAAATAAATTACAAAAGTATGCATATGCGCAAACCGCAGGAATATTGGAACATCACCCTATTGGTTAGTATTACTTAAAACAATAGAGATCAAGTTCTCAATTTGTTAGAATAGTGGCAGGCTAAGCTGATATTGCTAGTTTAGCGTGGAATCTATATTATAAAAGTTATTTAAAAGTAAAATCAGCCTTTTAATGCCATTAACCATGCTTTCTTCATGAACAACCAACAAACTCTTTCTCTTGTGTCTTTGGAGGAATGGGAACCACGGTAGATGAAAAGCTGCTGTGCGAATTTCTCTAAATAGAAAATAAGTTTTTTAGTTAGGAAACATGATTGCAGAGAATTTTCACTTAATGTGTGCTGCTTCAGGTTTTCAGGCAGTTCCCTAGATCCCTAAAATCTCCTCATTTCACCAATTCTGCCTCCCAAAAAATTTGTTCAGCTGTGTAACAATACTCTTCCCCCTCTTTTTTTTTTTTCTTCAATTTTGTTCACATGGAATTGGATAGGGGAATACAAAATGTAAATGTCTTTTTATGAAGGACATTATAAAAAGGAGCTGTGTCCTCAAAAGCTTCATATATTACAAAATAAATTCTTAATGTCACATATGCCAGCTGGAAAATTTCTTCCTCACTAGTGCTAGATTTAGTGTTCTAGAGCAGCTAGCTGTGTTCAAAGTACTACAAGAAATCCCAATGATAATGCTTCCTATTTAGAGGCTCTCAGACTCGTTAATACTAATTGGGAGTCCTTACCATCTGATAGCTGTTCAGTAGCCTCTGTAATATGAGGTCTAGTGAACAGCATCCACATTACAAAACTATTATCATGTAATTATTATCAACAATCTCTGCAGACAAGCTAAGGAATCAGTATATCTGCAATCTAAACTACCAGTTCATCCCTAGAGATGCTCTATTCCAGAACAGGCTTGAGGCATGCTGTGACAGGGCAATGTGAAGAAGCTTGCATTGCCATTGCATGTATCATACTTATTTTGAGGATTTTAGCTACTAGGGTTATCCGTCAATATGCACAGTAAGTTCACTGAACAACTGGAGAACACTCTCTGCTTTACAATAAAGCTGCTACTACATCTTGTCTCTCAAATCCTGTGCTTCCTGTTCAGAGACTTTCTTATAATCTACATTTCAGTATATTTTATACTTTCCTTGAATCAACACCATGCTGAAGAGAGTAATATATAATGTTTCATATGTACAGAGGCTTTTCAGTTGCATGGAACAGCTTGCCATGTAGTGTTCTCACCCTCTCTTTGTTCACATTACTGCTAAAGATGTGTTTCATGAGGCTTCAAAACACTAGGGGGAAAAAAGAGTTAAGTTAACACTGCATCTGCCCTCCCATTGTGTCCTGTTCTGTGTGTCTTATACTGCAAGTTCCTTGTGTTAGGTACTGTCTTTCTCTGTCTTGTACAGTACCAAGCACATTGTTGGTGCCCTTTTAGCAATAGCTTCTATGTCATGTCTATCTCTACACAAAAGAAGAAATTTTGACCAAGAAGATATAAATTCTAATGCTGAATTTTAAGGTTCGTAACAAATAATTGCAGAGATTTTTTTTAGATGTTATGCCAGAGAATCTGTATGATTGAATATAGAAAGAATGTTTTTTAAAATCAGTAATCTAAATAAACTTGATAATCCATTGACATTTGTACTTAATCCATCTACTGTTTTTAACATTTTGCATATAGTAATGCGACCTGAAAATAATTGCTATGAATTATTACCATACAGAATTCAATTGTTGATGATGGTAACCAGAGGAGAAGTGATATAAAAATGTGGTTGAGTGAATTCTGTATTAAAATACTTGCTGTAAATTGCAACAGAGAGAGTATGGTAGCTAATAAGTGAACCTATGATGTAACTTTTGCTTTATACAGGCATAAAACACCAGTTTTGCTCTAATTACAGAGCAGTATTAATGGTTAAAAAATCAGTTTTCTGTGTGAAATACAACCACAGGGATTAAATATATACACAAAATTGCTATAGCTTCCTACTGATATTTTATAAATCTTACGGTTATAAGTAGTGAACAATTGATATTACAGTTCTTTCTTGTAAGAAAAAGCTCAGTTGGGTTCCTGGGTGGTGGTTAATTTTAAATGTGGGTTTCTAAACCACTTTCAGTAAGCTCCTTTTTTTTTTTTTTTAAAGGTTTAAAACTCCTCTATCCTTAAACTTCATGCTTCTGTTTAAAAAATTATCAAAATCAAACCACAGTGAGCTTTTTCTTACAATGCAACTTATTGGGATCCTCAAACAGATGTTCTTCATCTTTGCTAGTTGTGTTTTTCATAGCAGTGAACTTTAGTTAATCTAATGAAATTATTTGTTTTCTTGAAAATCAATAGCAGCTGAAGTACACTAGTGTTATAAGTAACTGATTTTATTTTTTGTGTGAAGTTCAGAATATTTTTCTTAGTGTATCTAGACAAACCCACCTACAAATAATTTGTTAAAGTAGTAACTATGAAATTTTCACTGCTGCTTGATTTTGTGTTTGTAGAGCCAGAATGAAGACTGGGGAGGTTTGTCTGAGGATATCTTATGATTAAGAGCAGTCTAAGGCTTTAGCCCTTTTGACCCCCCTCTAAATTGGTAACTACCAGATTTACCATTTTGGTGGCATGGATTAAATGGGTGCTATGCAGAGACTGTTGCACGTGTAATGAAGTCCTTGCCTGATGAGTAAAGGATATACACAGAAATTATGGGTGATGGGCTTAATCTTCTGCAACATTTGCATGATGGTATTTGGAGAGTGCTTTGGGTGTTCTGTTTTATTTTCATTTTTATACTAACAGCATCAGTTTGAAGTGTGATTTTTTTTTTTTTATGAGCTTTGTTTTGGTGTTGGTAATTAAGTGGGTTAATGGAGTTTAGAGAAGTGGTATACCAAAACTAATTACTAAACAGATGTTTGGCTTTGTTTACTTGTAAGCAACCCACTTAAACATGTGTTTACTGGAAAATGCGCTGTTACCTCTGGTAGGCAAATGACATGGGCCCCTGTATAGAATGGTGCTGCTGCAATTGACTGTATATCTAATACTGGGTGATGCTGCATGAGAGAACAAACTTATTTGCATATATAGTGCATTGCAACATATTTTTGTGCAGGCCCCTAAGAGAGGAATACATTGTGGCAGTGTTACAAAGAAAAGGTAAGACTGTCTTCAAAAAGCTCACACACGAAAAATGGGTCACTTTGAAAACCTATTAGTCAAGGTCTTAGTGTTTAAATCAGTTACATTACATAAATGTAGTTAAATATATCAACTTTTATTGTGTACATATGCCACAGGGAATATTTTATTTCAGGTGTAGTTTGAAATGTATAAAGATTAAGACTTAATTCATTAGACCAGTTGAATGTAAATGTACACAAATTTTGCAAGTAATGAAAGGAAATTTCATCTTTAAGAAAATACATTTTGCAAAGAATGAGTTCAGATGCTCAGCTTGCCTTTTGTGATGAGTCATAATTCTGGTTTATGTATATGATACATAATTATTTTAATAGTTAAATTTTCTTTATATGATGTCTTTTTTTTGCCTTTTAAATAAAATTTTGCTTGCTGTTCATTTGATGACTCCTGTGATGGCATCCAAGAGTGCTGGTAAAGTTTTGACATCAAATGGGCTGGATTGCACTACAATATTTTATCCTACATGAACGCCAGCAATTATGATTTATATGATGCTGAATGCAGTTTAATGGTCAGGGTAGACAAGGACAAAACGTTTTTTCATGTCAGCTGACTACAATGCTGTTAGTTTATTCTGGTCTACAATGACCACTAAATTGCATTCAAAATCATGTCAGTTAAACACAATTGTTGGCATCTGTGTTTAAACAGTAAAAATCTTGTGGACCTCATAGATTCAATTATTACTTATTTAGATTTAACATTATTAATGACTTTCACTTGAAATTTATTTGGAGGAAGGGAGTCTTTTTACTTTTTTGAAAGTGTGAGTGAGTTCAGTGTTGTAAAGTGTGTGGGAAGAGGGAAGGGTACTTGATAAATTGTGTAGGATGAAGACTTAGGGCACATAAAAACAAAAACTTGGATTAATTCAATAAAATAATTATGATAGGCTGGTTTAAGGGAAATAGAGAATAAACATTCATAACAATGCATTTGTTTGCTGGGAATATTTTTGAAACTTAGTTGAGTGGAGCTCCATGTGAAAGCCTTACAGCACTTTTTTCATGCAGTTAATTAATTGCCATATGGGATGGAGCCCTTATTAGAATTATTGGCACTTACTATATCTTATTAAAACAACCTCCAGTGTGGCCTTTATATAGTCCTACACATCATAGGAGGGTAGTTATTTATAATGATATAGAAGTTGCATACTAAATTTATATTTGAAGGACATTCATCTGGGACACAGGTACTCAAATTAGGGGTTGTGCGATCACCCTGCCTTTCCCATATTATATTGCTCAATAATAAATGGGTCTTGACTAGATCCTGGGTACCTGGGATGGATGGGAATTCTTAGAGTTAGTTTGGGGCTACAGTGTGGCAGATGCTGAGTATTACTAACCTAGAAATTTTGCACGTCCTAAAATACTGATGTGTGACGAGAGTCACTTTTTTGTTTGAAATAAAACTATAAGAAGTGAGTCTTGTAATACATTCATTGAGCACAACCAACAACCTTTGTAAGTATTGCTAGGAGAACTTGGTCCGCCAAACATGAGTATCAGGTTTCTTTTTCTTTTTGTACTTTGTTGCACTTTCCCATCTCTCCACTATAACAGAAGTCCTATATAAGGATGTGACCCTTATGGCTTGGCTAGTGTTAATTCTGTGATTGTAAAACTTTGGTGATCCCTGATTTGTTATGTTTTTCTCAGGTGGAGACTTACAAAAATATTCTGTTCCGATCTATGTTGGGCAGTTAGACTATGGGCTTTTGAGGAACCTATATAATTTGTTGTCCTGTTTGGCTACTTTGTGCAATGTTTGTAGGGTCTGATGCATATTCGTACATGTAGTAACTGGGGCACTGCATAATCTGAGTGTCAGTAAGTGGAATGTAATCTATGTTCTTGAGGGGTATGTGTGAGAGAGCATATTCTATAGTATAGATGCAGAATTTCTCCTTTTGTTGTTTTTACTCAGTGTATTACAGTAGTATGTATATGCCCCTATCAGGGCCCCATTGTGCTAGGTCTGTGCAATCACATGTTAAGAGACAGTCTCTGCCATGAAGAACTTAGTCAAATTTAAGACGAGGCTACAGTTGTAATGAATAGTCAGAAAACATAAGGGAAATAGTGATAGGAAAAACAACGAGGAGTCCTTATGTCACTCTTAGAGACTAACAAATTTATTTGGGCATAAGCTTTCGTGGGCTAAAACCCACCTCATCAGATGCATGGAGTGAAAAATACAGTAAGCAGAATATATATTATAGCACATGAAAAGATGGGAGTTGCCTTACCAAGTGGGAGGTCAATGCTAATGAGCCAATTCAGTTAAGGTGGAAGTGGCCTATTCTCAACAGTTGACAAGAAGGGATGAATACCAAGGGAGGGGAAATTACTTTTGTAGTGCTAACGAGGCCAATGCAATCAAGGTGGCCCATTTCCAACAGTTGAGAAGAAGGGGTGAGTATCAGCAGAGGGAAAATTACTTTTTGTAGTGACCCATCCAGGTGATGTGCACTAGATGATTTTGAGTTTATATGTATGCAGTAAATATGCATACAGCTTCCGTTAGATGCATACAGCTCCCGTTAGATGCAGTAGAAGTTGTGCTTGCATATCTGAGGGTAGCATTTGCAAATGTTAGAGTAATGGTCATGACTTAAAAAGAACAGGAGTACTTGTGGCACCTTAGAGACTAACAAATGTATTTAAGCATAAGCTTTCGTGGGCTAAAGCCCACTTCGTCGGCTGCATAGACTGGAACATACAGCAAGAAGATATTTATACATTCAGAGAACATGAAAGGGTGGAAGTAGCCATACCAACTGTAAGAGGCCAATCAATTGAGATGAGCTATTATCAGCAGGAGAAAAAAAAGTTGTGAAGTGATAATCAAGGTGGCCCATAGAAGGTGTGAGGATACTTAACATGGGGAAATAGATTCAGTTAGTGTAATGACCCAACCATTCCCAGTCTCTGTTCAAACCTAAGTTAATGGTATCTAATTTGCATATTAATTCAAGTTCAGGAGTCTTTCTTTGGAGTCTGTTTTTGAAGCTTTTCTGTTGCAAAATTGCCACCTTCAAGTCTCTCACTGAGTGGTTAGAGAGGTTGAAGTGTTCTCCCACTGGTTTTTGAATGTTATGATTCCTGATGTCAGATTTGTGTCCATTTATTCTTTTGCATAGAGACTGTCTGGTTTGGCCAATGTACATGGCAGAGGGGCATTGCTGGCACATGATGGCATATATCACGTTGGTAGATGTGCAGGTGGACGAGCCCCTGATGGCGTGGCTGATGTGATTAGGTCCTATGATGGTGTCAGTTTCCACTCTGAGTGTGATTTTTACCCTACGTGCATTGCTTAGTAATATATCTCATAACAATCACAGTGGGGGGTATCTATGATGACGAGGAATAAAATTTTTGGAAGGCTTTAGTGTGATATAGTGGATGTTTACTCCCCTAACTGTAAAGCTTGTGTAAATCCTTTGGAAAACACCATTTATCAATTAACTGGCAGGTGTGAAGTGTAGCATTCTAAAGGGATTATCACCTTTGTTCCAACCAGATCAGGGAAGAGGTGGGAGTGGGTGAGGGGGAAGAAAGACACCCACTGAAGTCTGATTACAGTGAATGAAGGTTCAGCTGGTACTTTTGCTTCCCCAGTTGAGAGTGGAGGAGGAGAGGGGTCACTACTGTTGTCTCTCACGCTTTCCTTGGCTGGTGAAGTGAAGGCTGGGGAGATGACAGTTTTACTTCACTGTGTGCCTGTGTAAAATTTTTATATTCTTGCAAAATAATGCTTTAATTGCCTAACGATGGAACCGCAAAGAAAGCGAACAGTAGCAGCTTTGTATAGAGAAATATCTTATGAAATATTTCCTGGTGATTCAACCTCTATTTGTTAAATTGATCTAAGATCTGATGGACTTCTGTATAATGTCTCTTTAAACAAAATCTTACTGTTGTAATAATTGTTTTGTTTCTTATATTTACATGGCTAGGATCTGTAAACCTGTTAATATTTCCTAAATAAATAGTGTGTGTGTGGAATCATTAATTTTGCAATCTTATCTTCAAGTGCATTTTGCCTTGAAATCTCTTCCAGTTGACAGTTGTTAATGAAGATTTCAATCTTAATCAAAATTTCTTACTGTTTCCCCAAAGGTAGTTTGCTTCTTGGACCAAAAACACTCCTGAAAAATGGACTACAGTTATTACCAATTCTATACTGACTACTGATTTGTTGCTCCAGTTTTGTATTTGTTTAGACTAGGAAAAGTGGTCAAGTTTAGCCTGAGGTTAGTCAACACATTTCCGCTCACAGTTTAACACAGTTCTCTCTCCTACCTCTAAACCCCTACCAGCAAAACAAAACCCAACCTTAAAAATCATCCTCTACACTACGCAGAATATTGATCCCAAAAATGGAGCAGTAAGAGACGCAATGAAGTCCACTAGGGATTTCACTATTGTTATTGATTTTATGTAGAAGGTGTTCAGATACTACAGTGATGGTGTATTCATCATCATTTACTGCATACATATTTAGAGAGCTCATCTCAACTTTTCCCTGATCTAGACACACTATTGTCTCACTTTAGCTAGTATGGACATCAATCAGCTAAATTGAGGCAAAAGTTGTTAACCTGTATATCTATGCTTGGGAAAAGATTAAGGTTAGGTAGGGGTTAGCTAGATATTTTAGCTAACATGAATCTCATCTGAACCACTTTCCTAATGTATACAAGTCCTTAGTGACAGGCTGGGATTTTCAGAGGAGCCTTACTCGCTTAGGTTCCTTTGAACCTTCCCTTAAGAAAGACTGTGTCATTTGAAGTAGTAGTCATGATGCATTAATTTCCAAATAAGTATTTGAGAAAGAGCAATCTGAAACCAAGCTCATGATGTCAGGCAAAGTGTTTCTCTGAGTTTAAATTTTCAAAAATAACTAGTGATTTTCAAGTGGGTGGTTAATGTCACAACCTGGAC